CATATTGCTTACTTCACATTCATAATAAGTTAAAAACTGCTTTCTACGAACAGTACCTCTCAAAGTGATCTTGTTCAATATAATATCGATTATCATCGTGTGTAGTAAATTAAAAGTTGTAATACATATTAGAATTAATGAAGTCTGGCGAGACATATACCTTAAGAAGATGAATTATTGTCTCACGTATTCTATGCTACGCTTATCAGAGAACAGTATATTAATTTAAAGTTCTAGGGAGGAGTCGTGACCAGTGAGGGTCCACTCGGTCGGGAATGAGGAGAAATACTCGCTGGTGACAGCTGATGCTTGTAGTAAAATCACGAATTAGTAGAAGTTGGAATTCAAGGGCCACTGAGTCAGGTCCTAGTGGCTGAATGCTTTACGAGCTTGACTTGTAACCAGAAGGTCCCGATTTCGAGCCCCAGAGGATGCGTAATGCCAAAGACGAAACAGTTGTCTAGTACCCCTTGGTTTTCAATGGTTCTCTAACTGATATCGATCCCTGATCAAAAGTTAAAGTAAGATATTAACCCGTGTATAGAAAGAAATTGCCTACAACACTAGGTAAGATTTCCGACGATATTGATTATTGCTATAGTTACAAATGTAAGACCAGAAATAACAGATAAGTAATACACTATAATGTCATTAATTTTAAAGTGTTAAAATCCTTTCAAACTGATGTTCACTATGTCATATTTACTGTTTTAGTTGACTGAGAGAGTAATAAAACATAATGTCATTTTGTTTATTAGTGGGAATGAAAATGGATGCAAAGCAGTAGAGAAAGAGAGAGATAAAAATAGATGTGGAGATCAATTAATTGGCAGTGTCCTTAGTCTGTATACATGCACAGCGATTATTTTTTTTTAAACTGAACTAAAACACAAACCAACTGTACCCGCTTCTAATTATGTGAATATTCATATAATTGAATTTTTATGTTTTGTTATTCAAAACATAAAACGTTAAAATGAATATTTTGGATTCTTTTTTTGTAAAATTATGTAAAATTACTACTAATATTTGCCTACTGAAATGATTAGCCCCTTATTTTTAATTAGAATGCATAAGCTTTTCTGAACTGACAGGAAGACTCTACAAGGTCTGGACTTTACGGATGATTTATGCTTAGGTGTCATACAAACTCGAAGATCCACATCAACAAGCGAAAAACAACAAGATGACCGAAGAAACAAGGAAGAGAGGACTTCAATTTGAACACAGAGGGGTGATCAAGATACCTAACCTAACCAAGGATAGAGAGCACTAATCACCATCAACACATGAGAAATATGATGAGAGTCACTTCTTCCACTTATCTAGACAGCACTTTTTCAACTATAAGCGGCAAAAATGAGAATGTTGAAATCAGTCACAGTATCGGGAAAGTAATCTGAAATCAGTATGGAAATCTACTGCACTCAGCATACTTTTGTACGTCCCTGATTCCTCATTATTCTTTATTATTATTATTATTTTTCGAGAAATTTTAATAATTTTTGTGACCTGTCTAATTTCACCGTGTAGCTAGTTAACCGTGCAGTTATCTCTCTAGATAATCCACTGCACTATATTACATGAATAGTCTGTGTAAGGCAACCTGCTTTCTGCAGAAGAAAATCAATGAAAGAATTATTCTTATATTGAGTCATAGGAAAAGGACGTAAACAGAGAAGAAAATTTTATTTTCAACGATTCATTTTCATAAGATAATAAAAGGAAGCAAAATTATAGTAATAACTTTACTCTGGCCACAGTAGGGTGAGTGAATGGATGTAGTGCTTTTGAATGCAGAGGTCGGGTTTGCGATCCCGAATAGCCAATGATTCAGCTATGTACACATGACGTATTCGAAGTCCTTTTGTACAATATTAAGGTACTCTGTGTGGCACTGTGAGGCACTTATGCGGGGTTGCTTGATGTCCAGAGGTGACAAGGTATTCAAGGATGGAGCTGTTAATATTCTTCTTTTCTCCTCTGGCTAACCAAGCTGGACAATGTTCCAGGATACGTTTGTGGACTTGATGTTGCGTACGGCCGATACGTTTTGCTCCACACGAGCAAGTAAACTGATAAATACACATTGGGGTGACCAAAGCGGTGCCTTGTCCTTAATGTTAGACTGGATTTACAGTCTAGTGGAGAATGTGGTACGTAAGTTGGCTGCATGGAATGTCTTCTTCAGAGATTTATAAAGGCGGTTAGTAAGAATTCCTACTTTGATATCACCTTTGAATTCCAGGTTCACGAAGAGTTTTCTTAGGAACAGTTGTCATTTTTCGAGACGGAGGCTTTTCTTTCATGTTTTTGGTTAAGAATCTTGGCGGGTTTCACGTAATGAATTTAGTTCTTTATCATGTCTTCTGAACATATTTTCCTGATCCTTTAACCTAATGTACGTACTAGGTTTTGCTTTCACAGTGCTACACAGAGTTCCTCAATATCGCACAAAGGAACTTCGAATACGCCGTCCGTACATAGCTGAATCATTGGCTATTAGGGATCTGAAAACGGACCTCTGCATTCAAAAGCCCTACATCCATTCAATCGCCCTGCTGTGGCCAGAGTAACGTCCTTACCATAATTTTGCTTCTTTTTATTATCTTATGAAAATGAGTCATCGAAAAGAAGAATATCAGTTAAAACTGCGCTATACTCTCAGTGGTATAGCCTATCACCACCTGTAAATTAGATACAAATTACCAATACAGCATGTGACTAATAGATAAATACAAATATAAATGACTGAAACTTTTTCACTAAATGACCTATACAAAAGAGTATTTGTCTTGTTTTGTTATTTTCACAGACAGGAATTCCTAAACATAAAGATGAAAGTGATAAAATGTTAGATTTCTCTCCATTTGGACTATAATGTTTTGAAAATAAATAAATAATGAAGAGAGATATGTAAATTTTTCAAGTGAATAAATTCTTCATAACTAAGTGAAAATAATGAACTTTTGCACAACAACTTAAGTTAGTCTATCAGCCTACGGAGTATGCGGATGCATTCAGCATTGTGATGCATATAATATCAGTATTACTTTATGAAAAATTAAAGTTAGAGAATTCAATTTGCAAGCAAAAAGAATTTTCTATAGTTTGGTTTGTAAGGATTAGTTATGTTTTACGAGTTGATCACGGACTGATATCAATTAGAGAACCATTGAAAACCAGGGAGTACTGGACAGCTGTTTCATCCTAGTTTGGGAATCATCGGCAGTACGCACCCACTGGGCCTCGAACCCAGGACCTTCCGGTTGGGGTCACGCTAAATCGCGAATTGGTAGAAGTTAGAATTCATGAGCCATGGCTGAATGGTACACCACCTTGCCTTGTAACCCGGAAAGTCCTGGGTTCGAATCCCAGTGGGTGCGTACTGCCGATGATTCCCAAACTAGGATGAAACAGCTATCCAGTACTCCCTGGTTTTCAATGGTTCTCTAATTGCTATAAGTCCGTGATCAACTCGTAAAACAAAAAGAATTTGTTGACAGTCTTAACCTTCTAGGGAAAGAAAGGTGTTCACATTATGAAATTCCACTGAGCACGCTTTCGGAGAAACAGCTGAATATATGTTACCAATGAGTGTGTTTCCTACTATCGATAATCCAAACATCTAAATGGTGGGAAAAGCATTGATATGACTCATTGCTTGCTTTTCGAGTGCAATGTAGGGCTTCAGCTACACACATCGACATTTCACTCCACTTTCAACCAGCTCTACGGTTGCCTACAAGCTTTCGTCTCCTCTTCAAACGATCTCTTCCATGTTACACTCACACCAACAGCCGACCTCCCGTTTACCATACCAGTTCTACTCGAGGGTCTTTCCGGTATGTAATACAACTCAACAGTCTTCTCAGCGTATGTCCAATGTTACTTCAATTTCATTCTGCATATTTCTTGGGGGTAAAGGTTCTTGACTGATTCACTGCCAGAGTTTCTTGTTGCTTATTCTTTCTGTCGAGTCATCTGATGTTCCCTATGAAGCAAGGCAGGTGTTGATAAAAGTCTGCAATAGACTGTTAAAAATTGATTTTGATGACGTATCGTCAGACAGAAGCATTAATTTAACATTTATGTTAAAAATTCTGACCTTGTTTTTTTGTAATGACTGATGTAGATCTCCACACTGATTTCAGATTAATGAATGCCAGTCTTGCTTTCCCCATACTGCATGGCTTCAATTTCACCATTCTGTGCCATCTGTATCTGAAAAGATGCTGCCTATCCAGGTAACCGAAATACAATACTTCCTTAAGACTTCACATACTGATGATGAACGGTCTTCGTTGAATAGATTACAGTTAACTACTTATGTAAATGTACATGGATGCAAATGCGTTTAATAACGCTTAAGTCTCATCCACTGTTTAATGTATAAAAGAATTACATCTAGTTGTCTGAATGCCAAACAGAGATAGAGCAGGCTTATGTACACAAGCTAGAGAACCACTGCAAAACCAAGGAGTACTGTACAGCTGTTTCGTCCTAGTTCAGGACTCTTCACAGAACGTACCCACTGGGGTAATAAACCAGGATCTTTCGGTGCAAGGCAAGCTCGTAGACCATTCAGCCATTGGAACTCGATCCAGTCAACCAGTGGCCTGTGATATTGGCTGGCGGTTGAGCTATATATTATCGTGAATTGACAGAATTCAGGATTCATGCACCAGTGGCTGAATGGTCTACGAGTTCGCGTTGCACTGGAAGGTATTGGGTTCGAACCCTATGTATGCGTACATATGGAGAGTCCCAAAATGGGGCGAAACAGCTCTCCAGTAATCTCTGGTGGTTCCCAGTGGTTTTAACTGATGTCACCTGTAACCAATGGAATCCCTGCAAAACAACACTTGGTAATTATATAAATAAATCGATAAGTGAACAGATTTTCACTTCTAATGTGGAGTTGGCCTCTTTTTTAAACAAGGAAGAAAAACCTTTTTATATATTTCAAATATTTAAACAAATAAATAAATAAATGTTACCTCTGTGTATTGGGTATCGTCATCCCAGTAGTTGTTTCCGATTTCGGTTGAACAGTCGGACTAATCGGAGGGATACAACTTGGTTCTGATATTTTAGTAGGAGTTAACGACCCATTTAACAATGATGAAGAATGATTACTTGTTGTAGTGTTGCTGCTAATTGTAGAAGAGAATACATTAGATGATGAAACAACCTTTGACTTCACTTCTTCTACAGATTGTTTCGACATATCAGGCTGCTGCTTATTGTTGTTCATTGTTGTGGTAGTTATTGTTGATGGTGATTGTGGAGGCATAGAACTAGCTGGCTGATCAGTATGCAGTGTTGAGTTTGACTTATTAACAGCAGTATACGGTGAAGTATTATTGAATGAGGATAATACTACTGGTGTAGTAGATTGATTTGTAAATGAACTGCTGGTTGTCTGTGAATGACTTACAAAGGTACTCGACGACAGTGTTGTAACTGGTGTCATTGATGTATGATGTGATAGTGAGTATGAGAAATTGTTTACTGGTACAGAAGACACAATTGTTGGAGCTTTATTCATAAGCAGTGAACTAAAAAAATTCAAAAAAAGACAACAGTCATTATAAGAGAAGTTTAAAAGTATAATCAAGGTGTCATAATTGGCAACAGTAAACCCTATTTCTCCGAATCAGTTTTTTTTTGTTCCTCTGTATTTCAAGTAGAACATAGGTCTTCAGGCTTTACGCTTGGAAGCTTTTTAAAGGTTTGTGTTGTTTTTAACGGGGTGAGGTCGGTAGCCTAATGATTAACCATGCCACTTCTCCAACATTACTAGTGACTAGCTGACGTCCAGGAGTGCATCGGCTGGGATCGAACCCGAACGACGTTCGTCCCATCCATCCATCCCTGAACCATTGACCCACCTAGTACCAAAGAGCAGATCATTCAATATAATTAATAAAGTTACAATCCATACGTAAATAGAGGTGATGAAGCATACTCGTAGTACCAATACGACGGTTCTGTAAGTCAGCAACGAGTACAAGCTAGAAAAGATGGATCAATAGATTTCGCTTCAATACCAACATGCTAACTCTCTGACTGATTATTTTGATTTTAGTTATGATGAATACAGGTTTTCATTCCGTTGCTAGTATTTTAGCGCTAAGATTGTTTATTCGTAAGCAGCGGGTACACATGTAATTAGAAGTAGACAGACAGTTACTTCAGTCTTATTTTACCTAGAATCCTAAACTTAATCCCAATGCTGTTTGTGTCGTAGCTACATTATAGACGCGTGGCTATGCACTATAATCAACTTTACACCAAAATCGAAACGGTTACATATCATTCATTCATTCATGCACATGACAGAGGGCTATGATTCTCAATGGCTAAATTGAAACAGACAATTTATGAACAACTACGTTACTTATTTTAGTCAAAACAGTGACGCACAAAACTGTTGCGAAAACATCAGTTGGCAAAATTAATATTTAAAAAACAAAAACAAGACAAAAACAAAGAAGACGTCAATACACGTCTCTAATTCAGTTCAATTAAAGTCCAGCAGTGTGGATTTGCAGAGAATACGTGGTTTTACTTAGTTAAACATGGAGACAAATGCTTTCAACAAAAAAAAAACAGACATGTTGAATTTTCCCAGCAGTTTTCGACAACAAGACTGTAGTATGAATTTTACTCCCTTTCTAATTATTAAAAACAATTTTATGCAAAGCATATCATTAGATGTCATAGAATCTGTATCCACATTTATTGATGTACCTTCATATATAAATAGCGCTCATACGAATGAATACAAAATCCCTAAAATGTCTTATATAGGAAGCACTTTATGCGAAGAAAGAAATATTAGGTATGAACTTAGTTAACTGCTTTGTTACCATTAAGAAACAGTTGACTGACTGACTGGTTTCAACGTAAATCTTCGCATAGATATGTAGCAGTTCGAGTTGCCACACTCCACTTAGCAAGCAAAACAAAAGAGAGTAGAGAAAGATTCAAAACAGAGATAATAAACAGAAATATGAGGGAAAAGGATAGTAATATGGAAGAACAATATAGCTTTATTGGATATTATAAATTACTGGGGTTGTGAATGCATCTGCCCCGACCACTGAAAACGATTTTGAGTTATATCACCAAATGTCTTCAGCCTTCATTGGTTCTTACCATTCCAAGGACCCTAACCACGAAGTCTACACCTTCCTACGTGGCTTAAACTAACTGTTATGGATTTCATTGAATGATTGCATGTTTTTGTTTAACCACCACTGGCTCTTTTTCAACCAGATCCTGTGTCAGCTAACATTGCCAGTCGAGGAAGGCGATGGCTAGACATGCGTAACACATGTTCTAACCATCTCAATCGATGTAACTTCACAACCTCATCAATTGATTTTCTCTCTTTACCTAGCACCCCTCGCCTAACCTCAGTGTTACTCACCACATTATGCCACCTAACATAGGAGATAGAACGTAACCACCTATGATCAAAGATACCTAGCCTTTTCAAGTGCTTCAATAAGAAACTGTTATTCCAGCTCCGCTATAATTATTGCATTTTTATTACTGTTCTTGTTATTTTTAATAATTATTATTACTATATATATTATACATTTTCTCTATGTTAAGCGAAATGAACATCGGATACAATCAAGAATTAGACAGTCAGAATTCCACACTGAGATAAACATGTTGTCTGATTACTATTACTCTTGTGATTCTATGATTCGATAGTTCAATCTCTCTGTTTTGGAACCATGAGCCACGTTCACTGCGCAAGAGCTATTGATGCTACCCAGCTGCCCAGGATAAAGTAATTGAGGTGGGATTCGGCCCTGGGGATATATTAGCTGAAAGATGAGTGCTCAAGCCAAAGAACTATATTTCGGTTGGATATAAGAGATTTCACTTGCCTTATCTCCTTTTACAATGCTCATACTTATCAAACAAATCACGCAAAACCTTTATATTTGACTTTTTAATTTGACCGCACATATAAAAGCACTAAAGAAAAACAAAAAAACATTACCGTATCTTTGAATAAGGCATTTAGAAGACAAATTCTGCGAGACGATATCATTTCGTAGTTTCTTTACAACCGCTAATAGAAAATCACAATGCGAGTAATCTGAACAGAAATCCAGCATGATCCATTGCAAAACACTTATTAATGTCAGGTCACAAAATCAATATTAATGACTGTTTCACAATTATTTCACATAACTCTAACTCAAGGTTACTGAAGGTGATGGAAGCACTTTGGATTAATCACATACAGTCTAAACTGTGTGTACAAAACACAATAGACTTCAATCTTCGCCTACCATGGACTACATGACCTATCTAAATATGATCGGTCATCAGTATGTACTTTTGTTATCTATTTAACTGAGCAGTTGTCATGATGTTTATAAATGTTAACCATGTTAGCTGTAAAGCGGTTGTAAAGAAACTACGAAATGATATCATCTCGCGAAATTTGTCTTCTAAATGCCTTCTTCAAATTTATCAAAGGGACTAATTGCTTTAATTACCATATCTGATTTTCATCGTCTTAGAATGACCTTTTATGAATGACCTATGTATTTAGAAAGAGTACTAACCTAAGTGACTTGATCTAGAAGCAAGCATCCTTCTTCTTACAAAAGACTTACGAATACCGCAGTAAATACATTACTATACAATTAATTACTTCACATCCTATAAATTAAATCACACTAAAATGCATAACGATCACCTTCACTGCTATCAACAGTTGAACTTTCACACCGTGAACTTGTCTGACTGACTATGACTGGATTTCAATATAGAACATTGAAGAAATATGCAGCATCTAAAGTTCCCACATTTCATGTAACACACAGACATAGAGAAAACTTAGGAAAGAGAAATTCAAAAGAACTAAAAAAATTAGCAAATTGTGCGGCAGAAAGAAAGAATAGTGACAGGGAGAAACATGATGCTTTTATGGGTCTAGGAAATCATAATGAGTGAATGCGTCTGCGCTGGTGAAAATGTGTTTCAACAATATCACCAATAATCTCCAACTATAGGGTTTTTAGCACCTCGAGGACCTCAACCACGTAACATATACCTCCCCAAGTGCTCGAAACCAACGGTTAGTGACCTCATAGATTGATGTCAAGTTTTGGTTTGACCACCCTTACCTCTTTTCGGCTAAGATTGCTCGTCAAGGAAATGGGTGAGCTCAGCGTTCACAACACGTGTCTTATCCATGCGAATCGTTTTAGCCTCGCATTATAAATTTATTTACAGTACTAAGCACAGACTTGTAATAAAAACACACAGTCAAGTCGGCTTTAAAAGAAACCGACCACTTAATTTAAACAATCACACTATTTTTCAACTTCAATGATTGTTGTTTTAAAAATTCACATGTTAACAAATACCTAATCACTTTAATAATAAACTAATCAGAACAATTTTTAAGTATTGGTTTTGTAGGGATTTTTGTTTGATTGCATCGCGGATTTCATCATCAGCTGACATCAGTTAGAGAACCATTGGAAAACCAAGGAGTACTCGACAGCTGTTTCCTCTGTCCTAATTTGGGACTCTTCATCAGTACGCACCCGCTGCCAAGGTTCGAACCCAGGACCTTCTGGTTACAAGGCGAGCTCGTAGACCATTGAGCCAGTGGGACCCAATCCAATGGTCCTTGAATTCTAACTTCTGCCAATTCACGACATAGCGCGACCATTTTGCAATGTCTTCTTCGATGAGTTACTAACTGATGTCAGCTCATGATGAAATCCTCCATGCAATTAATCATAAATATTTATTTAGAATCAGTGTTTCAATAAACATAATTTCAGAAAAGTTACAATAGGCACCTTACTGTACTTACTGTAATACTTGTTCATCACGTTCGTCTAATTCAGCTTGTGCTTCACCTGCAGCAGCCACTTCAACAGGTTCTATTACAACTGGTGACACATTTTCATAATTAGCTTGTATTATATTAGGTTGAACAATTTTTGAATGTGACGTGAATGTTGTGTGTGACATAGAAGACACTGTCGATGTAGGAGCACCAGCAGCAGCAATAGGAGTGGTATGCGCAGGATACTTCCACATCTTTTTATCATCTGTGATTCCTGTGGAAACTGGTGTTATGTTACTAGTCGGGGTAGTGACATTGACAGCTGGTGTTGTTTCACTGGTCACAACAGATGGACTGGAAATGGAAGACTGTACTACCTGGACAGTTGTATTCCCTTCAGTGTTGCTCTCCTGTTTCACTGCTGCATCACCTTTATCATTTAAACCTTTTGTTGAACGTCTTTTAGACTTATAACTTTTAGACGTCAAGAGAAATGGTCTTGAGAAACATCTAAATCTGTAAGATACAAACAGAACATTAACAATAACCATGAGAAAAGTTTAGAATAACTTAGTATATAGTATAAAAAGATAAATTTTTTTTCCTTAACGTTCCCCACATAGGGCTTCAAGCTAGTGACTTGAAGTTTCTGTAGCAGTGTTTATTTTACAGGATGGGGTTGCTAGTCTCATGCCCAACCTTTCCTCTTTACCAGCACTATTTCTGGCTCACCGAGGTAAAGGAGTGCGTCGGCCGGGGATCGAACCCCGGACCATGTGCATGGTCGGCGAGCGTCCTGTCCGCTGCACCACCGACGCCCCGTTACAGAAAATAAAAGGACGTTCAAAGAAGAATTAATCTTTTCATCGATACCATTCTCAAGCTGCACAATGGCGTATATTTTCTCAGTAAGAACAGAAATTTTCCCAAGGATGTCTCATTATTTAAGATTGCAACTGCATATCCTCAAGTCTAACTCAAATGGTCAAAGTAAATAAATTGAGAGTATAAAAAGATGTGATAAAAAAAATTGGTAAAAGTGGCAATCTCTACACTGACTGACCAGCTGATCTATTCTTTTTAGAGAGACTGAGTGGAACATTTGATGACTTGTTAGTATAGTGAGAATTAAATTCCCCTTGATTCAAACCTTAAACAGTTGATACTCGCGATTTGCAATTTACACAGTTCCATATGAAATTCAGTCGCAATTTCCTTTGAAAAATAAAATTATCTAGATTGCAATGTAAAATCTGCTTGGTACCATAGATAGTAGGTAATCAATTAAACAAACATAAATGCATGACGCTACATACTACTAATTGACTGATATGAGTAGTTTGATACAACTCACATCAACTAATAGTGCTTGCACGACGGAATTCAGTTGATTTACAATGATTCGCTTCTGTCAGCCGAGTGAAACCAGGTACATCACTGATAAGTTCAGTCTTAAACGACTGAAACAGTCATCTGGCATTTAGATCACGATGTGAGTGGCACTCAACTACCCAGATCAATCATTCAATCAACATATTTATTATCTGTGACCTTAGAAATACTAATTGATACTATCCAAACACATGGGAAAATATATTTCAGTAAAAACAAGTAGACTTAAAAGATATTTTAAGTGACATACTACCAGTAAACCAGTGGGAGACGACTTGATTAGCGCTTCAGTCAATTTGTAACAAAATAGATGTCACTAAGGGTAAGAGGTAATCTGAAGCTGTTGAATTGCATTATGATAATGCATACCAGATGTTGGTTATGTTCATAATTTTATATTTCAGTGATGACATAAATCTTCCTCAATTCTTCTTCGTACTATGGTGAATGTACTGAAAGCTGCCGATATTTCTTCACATCACAAGATTAAATAAACTGTACACAAGTGAATTAATTGCCGAATAATTTCGAAAGTATCTCCATTGTCAGATTAGGAGATTTGTATTCATTTGAATAAATTTCAAGATAGATTTTGTCACGAACAAGCATCAGTTAGAGATTACTGAAAACTAGGGAGCACTGAACAGCGCTCTTCGTCCCAGTTGGCGAGTTTTCAGCAGTGCGTACCCATGAAAGCACTCGGGACGTTTAGGTCCCTCTATATCACGCTTATTGACCATTCAGCTACTCGGCTAGAGATTCAGAGACCCATGAATTCATACTCTGTAAATTCATTATATACTACTACCTCCAACCAATGCTTTCTACAGGTAAATACTTCCCCTTGGCATGGTGAACCCTACTGACGCAGACTTCTCATTACAACTTTCAGACACCCATTCAGTAGTTGCCAATGAGACCGAAACTCTGATATTCAGGTTATCCATTTTGCAAGTATTTGGGAATTTTTTTTCAATGTAGATCCCGTCAAATTCAGAATCCACAGGTTGAAGAGCTTCAATCCCCTGAAGAGCCACAAATCAGGACAGAACAATAGTCTACTGCTCGCCGGGTTTACAATGATTCTCTATCTTCATTTTGTCTACCACTAGTTAAGTTCTTTGCACAATCTACAAGAAAACTTTACAATTATGGTGAATACACGTTCAGGTTTTCACTTAACTGTGACAGAATAGATCACTGATGGTGATGATAATAATATTAATAAACACATTTTATGATTTCATTTAATTGGTTCAATTGATAAATACAAAAAGATAAAGATTGTTCTTCAAAAATTTGAAATTACTAGAAGAAAAGGTCACAAACAAAAAAGAATGATTCGAAATCTTGTTTGTTTTTTGCTTGATATCTATCTACACAACAATGAAAGTACACAAAACTAACCCCTCTAACTGTGAATAAGCAAACGGACTAGAAAAGAGTTTGCACTCACCTATGAAAAAAAGTATTATATTTATATTATATTCTAGCAAGAATTGGAAAATATATCCAAAAAGCAATAGAAATAAGGACAAACAAAGTAGATGAATTTCGATTGACTACTACACACTATTAGAAAACAATGAGGGAAAGAGTGAATGAAAATAATGAGGAATAGTGTAAACATGAAGTGTATGATGAATAAACAAAGAAACAAGCGGACAGGAATCAATCAATCCGATGGAGAAACGAAGAAACACCTTGTTGAAAAAAAATATTTGCCAAAGAAATCTTTCTAATACCTTAAACAAAATCATTAGGTTGACTTATAATATATTTTGATTGATGGTGACAAGAAATTAAATCCAGAATGCGCATTTCGTCCCATTTGGGACTCATCAGTCGAATTTACCTGAGATTCCCAGTGAGTTATGATGTTCCCACTGATACATGTTATAAGTGAAGTAAGAAGAAGATTTGCTAAGTTTTCTTTGTTTTTCTTTACATCAGCATCATCAAAGACTTCAAAATGAAGTGAGGTCTTAGAGAATTCTCCATGAGTTTATTAATCATCTACTCTAGTCAGCTTGAAACTGACTGATTGTTTCCGGAGATTATCTCACCCTCTAGTCTGATTGTGTAGGTAATGATTATCTTGCTAACCTGTCTGTTTATCTGTTTTCGACATAGAATTTTGCACCGATGTGCAGCAGTTCAATTCGTCACATTCCATCCACCTAGCACACAAAGCAAGAGAAGAAATGCATAGTAGAGACAGTAGACAGGGATATGAGACAAAAGAATAGTAATATCGAAGAACAATATAGTTTTATTGGGTACTATAGGTCACAAGGAGTGGATGCATCTGCGCCGGCCATTGAGAACGATTTTGAGCCATATCACCGATTGTCTCCAGCCTTCATTGGTTCTTACCCTCCCGAGAACCCCAACAAGGAATTTCACACCTTCCTACGTGACTTAAACTAACTGTTGTGGATTTCATTGACTGATGAAGCCATGTTTTGGTTTGACCGCCGTTAGCTCTTTCCCAGTCTGATCCTGTGTCAGTTAACATTCCCGTCGAGGAAGGCGATGACTAGGCATTGGTAACACATGTCCTAACCATCTCACGATGTAGCTAACCTGGTAGTTCACGATTAGTCCATATGACGTCCATTCTTTTGACAGTTCTGATCTATGTCAGTATGTCTGTTGATTGCGAACTCATTCGAGTACCAAGATTCCAAGAATTACTTAGCACTTTTAGCGTTTCCTTCGTTTAAGATTTTTACATTTTCTCACAGTCGAATTGGTGTCCTTGTTTACATGCATTGATATGAGGGGATGGATATCATGTCTTTTGATATTTTGTGAGTGCGAAAACAAAGAGGGTGTCTACTTTATTCAATATAATGTTCTTATTTTTTCACAGTTGTTGTATTTTATGTGGTAGGTGACGTTGGTGCCAGTGATTCTTGCTGTTGCGGTTTTTGCTTAATATGGTATAGATTGGAGTGATTTTTTCTACTCTGTAGGCGACAACATCTATCTGTAAAGCTTTGAGCAGTCATTCAGTGATTTCATAAATGTCCTTCATATACGGTAGGATAATTTCCTTTGTGTTCTCATTGGATGATATTGAGTTGATTGGTTCAGTTGAGAGTAAGCATCTTTTGATAAAGTCTTCTGAATTCCTATTTTTTTGAATAGAAGATGGTCTTATTTCCCCCTTCATTCTCCTCAAAACAAAAACGCACTAACCACTTTAACTGAGTAAACAAGCTTAATAAAAGATTTTACACTAATCTACTCGGGAAGAAGAAGTATTAATGATTGAATAACAAGCCAAAGGAAGACAGAATTTGATTAACTAATATATAAGGGAAAAAAAGATGCGCGAAAACAGGAAAAATAACAAAATAAGCAGGAGATAAAAGTTAAAGAGCATAGTAAGCAAACAGAAGGAGAAACTGAACAGGTACAAATCAATTGAATGAAGTAGAAAAACGACACCTGGTTAAAAGATATTATTATAATTTACAAAAAAAGAAAAAGCTTTTACGTTATTAAAAGAAAATAAGGTTGATACAGTCTATCAGTTCACAGGAACAGAACTTTTGGCACTCCCGTAACAGAAGAACATGGTATTATTTGGTAGCAGAATTGTTTATTTAGCTAAATGATGTACCGTTATAGCTGTATGTAGAAACATTACAGTGAAGTCTTCATTCATATATGTTCTTCGCATCGTGCTTCCTTCAGCTTACTTCTATGCTGCCTATAGTACTTCAAAAAGATCTTGTATTTCTCTTCATAAACTAATCTGTCGCTTCATTATTCAATATTCTTTCAGAAGACTGCATACACTATACAAACTACTTACAAAATCTTGTCAGTAGCACAAGCCAACATTCCATGCTATCTGCCACACTTTCTGTATGACCGCTGATGATACCACCAAGTCGGCCTGTCTGACGTAGACGGTGTAGCATTGAAGCCCTAGACCTATTGGTTCAGAGATGACTGTTTAAGCCAATAAGCCATATCTCCAACAACTTCCACGTGATGTAATTAGGAGAAGACTAGAAAAAAATGCTGTCTTTCAACAAAGTTAACAACTTATCAAAGATATACAGTGAACTCTTCGAGGTTAAACGAAAACCAGTGTACCGCGACGAAGAAGACACAAGTCCCTATGATGATGCCTAAACATTATTCGTAGTTTAAAAAACTACACAAACCATTTGTAAAGAATTATAGTCATGAGAACTTTGCTTGATTTACTCCATACGAGAATTTGCATATAAGTAATAAGTTTTTTTATACTGAAAACTTGGACATCGCACAAACAGATCAATAAATCAATGAATAGCAAATACGCAAGAGCACGCGCAGGTACAAAATGATACAATCTTATACAAATAGCACAGAAAAGAAAATCGAACACTATTTACATATCAATAGAGAATAAACTACGCAAGAAAATTACAAGGAAAAATCTTATAGAGATGAGGTAGTATTGTGCAAATGCACTAATTTCTACTTTGTGTGTATGTGTGGGTGGTTGGGTGCGGGAGTGGGTATGTAGGGGGCGGGGGTTTGCAGTCTTGATTTTGGTTTTGGCAAGTGATGAAACAAAATTTATGCGTTTTTATTATTACGCTTGTACAATATAGAAATATAGCTAAAATTCTGCTGAAAATAAACACTACTAAAATTATTCTGTTAATTAGCATTTCATTATTTTTTCACAATTCAGTTGTTATTCAAGGTCTATTTTGACTAAACTTTAAATGGACTAATTAAATATTGAACGAGAAATATATATATATACGTAAGGCAGAAGTGATTACTTGCAGAAAAGTACGCACAACAAAAACTTAATCTCTGCTATTAATGTGCACAGTGACGATAAGTATTTTTTGCTTCCTTTGGCGTTGCGAGTGGAAAACAGAGCTTTAGGCTAAAAACCCTGAAGTTTCAGTAGGAGTGGTGTTGACTTTTACGAGTTGGGATTGCTAGCCTCCTGCCCAAACATTACCTGTTTTCCAAGCTTACTATGGACTGGTAAATCGATTGAGGCTTAGGAGTGCGTCAGTCAGGAATGAATACTGACGCTTCCTTGAATGATCCACTCAGCAAAATAATGCTACTACTTATGAGTGAATATGATACATAAAATGCCTGACATACAAACAGACTCAGACAAAATTACCGATCAAAAATGTGAACAATAGATTTCAGTAAGAAGGATCAGTTGGCAGGCATCGTTTTTCCAATGATAAAATGTTTCAGTCATCACCTACTGACTGTATTTAGGACTTGATATTTTATACTAAAGGAAGCTGAAAAGCATGTGGAGGTCATATGTGTCCTGTTATGCAACAATTTATTCATATTTGAGAACTCAGATTCAAAAATACGCGTAAGTCAGAAAATGAGATACAGTATTTATCTGTACACACAGAAGTGCATCAAGCGCAAGCCACCCTACTTCAAAACAGCCAGCGAAATTAAAGGGACGCGACCAGAATAATACTAAGACAAACGAAAATAACCGAGTTATAGACTATAATACAATAAAAGATTTAGCAAAGCTTTTCAGAATCTGAATGGCAGAAAGGAGTGAACACACCTGCACTATTTTGTACATGGAATCACATCATCAATAGACTCTAATCATTGATCACTAACGTACCAAAGACACCTACCCAAACAATCTTATTATTATTATTGTTGTTCTAAAAGAGAGCTGGTACATTATGGGCACGAGGGTTGGAATACTGTCTGGACACCCAAAGAGAATCAGATGGTTGTCTTAAGAGGCCACCACTCCCCCATCGAGCTTCTGACTTGAAGTTTGATCTACAAGGCAATGGAACAGACTCAGGAGCTGCGTCCTTATGGGTGCCGGTGACCAAGACAGTTTCATACACCAATCAGTCCTTGCGGATTGCGGAGCTCATCTATACCATAGGTTTGTAATCAGAATTTTCTAGTCAACTTAGGTTATTCTGCATGCCCAGCGGTCTGGTCGTAAGCGTCAGACATTCATATTCGCCCATTCACTATTATGAGGAACTTCTCCACCACATGAAGGCAATGAATAGGACTTATTTGATGACATATACTTGTATCTTATATAGCTCCGATGAGCAATCAACTGAATTCAAGGACTGTTATTATGTTTTGCTTTGAAAAGAAAATGACAACCTGAATGGCGAAACCCAACTTCCACATTTCAAGATAAGCGTCTAATGAACATGATATATATATATATGTTTATGTGTGCGATAATGTGACATACTCACAGTTACACACACTAGAGACTATAGGCTTGTTTGAAATAATCAAGCGAGCAAATATTCTTAAATCATGACTATATATACAAAGCGAAATACTGATAATGAAATGTCACATTACAAATAAACAAAAAATAAACTTCCATAGAGAATGGTATAACATAACTGAAGGACTTTGTTTGTTCAACTTTATTATACATTAGTCATAATAGTAAAAACAGGGAAAAAAACAAGAATAAGAACGGAAGCAATACTGAAAATTATAGATAAAACAGATAGGGGGAAAATTTCCCAAGAACCACCACTTTTAGTTCTTTGTTTACATTCCAATTATCCGAAACGACAACAAAAACAACAACAATGTCAGCTGTCCATTATTAAAGCAATAATAATAATAATAATAATAATAATAATCATGATAGTATCCAATAGAAATACTTGAAATTCCATAGAAAACACTAACAAATTCATGCACATAGATAACGGAGGACAAAACACAAAAACAGGGAAATCTACATTATGATAATTGACTAAAGTCTACACACAGACACGCAATGACGGCATATATTATTAATATGGATAAATACGAATCTGATTGAAAGGAGAACAATCATTATCATCATTATTATTTTTCCCTTGGATTCCTAGTGGAACATAGGGCTTCAACAACACATTTCCACTTTGTTCCATTTTCTGCTGTCCTTTTCAGCTGGACAGCTCCACGATTGCCTATAATCTCTCACCTACTCCACCTTGTCATACGACCTCCTCCATGTCACCCTTAAGCTGACGACCCACTCATCGCTTTTCATTGGGGTTCCACTGGATCGATGACCTGAACTGAGTGTGATGTCATTATACAGCCTCTTAAACGTATACCCGATCCATCTCCATTTTCTCCTATATATTTGTTGAGCAATCGGCTCTTGGTGGGTTTGTTGCACTGCATATTTTCTTGTTACTCATTCTGTCTGCAACGTGTTGGAAATCCTTTTTGTAACACACAGTGCAACTTTCTGACTCGTATAGACTAACTGACTGACTTCACATTTGTGTTGAATACCCGAATCTTGTTCCTTATGCTGGCTGAGTGCAGAATATTTCCGAACTAGTTTCAGGTTGATGAAGGTGAATCTTGCCTTTCTGATTCCTTATGGCGTTGATATCTTCATACTTTCTGCCTGTGTTTGAAACCATGCTTCCAAGATAGGTGAAGAAAGTGACCTCTTTCAGATTTCTTCCTGTTGACGGTGATTGGTGCCGGTTGTTGTTGTTGTTGCTGCTGTTCGTTGGTTGGTGATCATCATCACCTCCGTCCTCTCGATGTTCACCTGCAGTCCGGTCTTCTCTGGCTGCTTTTTCAGCCAGTTTGTTGGTTTTCGCCTTTAAGTCTTCGAGTTTGCGCGACATTAAACATAAATTATCCACACACGAAATCCAGATCTTCTAGAGTCTTCTTGTCCGTCTAACGTATTCCTGTTTTCCCATTCCCAGTGCACAGTCTGGCGCATAATCCAGTCCACCACAATTAAGAATATCATCGGTGATAATAGGCGACCTTGTCTTACTGGAAGGAGGGCAATAGTAGTATTAGTAGCTTAGTGAAGATTAACAAAGATGTTTCGCATTTCACCGTAACTAATTTTGAAAAATAAATTTTCTTTACAAACTGTTGGTTTTTAATCTGCTGAAGACTTCGGATAAGAACAAAGTCTTCATCAACTGGTATTACGTTTTAAAGTAGACACATGCTAACTTATTTATCGTAAATCAGCTAACATTTCACATCAAAGAAGGTAATATAACTCAGTGTGTATGATACATGGTTCAAAACGAAATGACTTGACCATGGACACAACCTTAGTCAACATACTGATCATAATGTCACGATAACTATAGCCATTTCATACAATCTGCTATTCTTTGCTATTTTCCAATCATAAAGGTAGGACAGAGTTGAATGCTAATCTATACATTTAACAGATATTTTATTGATGCCAGAGATTATCCATTATGGTAAATGCTAAGCAGACATTCTCTACTCATGATGACATTGTTCACGCTGTGAGCAGTTGAAAAGAATCTCCAAAGTAATAATAATAATAATAGCAATAAGAGTAAGCTCACACTATCCTGCTACATTTATTATCCTTCTTTTGTTCAAGTTTCGCATAGGTGAGGAATTGCATGAAGTATTCGGAGAAAAAAGCAAAAATAAAAACAAAACAAATTACACTACTCACGTGTCACGGAATTGTCGATTGAATCGTGTCAATGCTTCAGAGGTTGACTTCTCTTCATTGCATTGTCTTGTTGTAACAGCGGCATTATTATTGCTATTGTTACTACCACTGGAAGTTTGTATGATTGTATTGTGTATTGTATACAGTTGTATTGCTAATCTCTTAGCAGCTTTTGAATCAGATAAACGAAATTTCAGATTATATTGTTGTGGTGTATTGTCTGCATTATCTCCATGTGGCTGGACAACATTTGCTTTCGAATCCTCCGTCTTTTTCTTTTTAAGTTTACCTGACTGTTTACTTTTACCACCTTTCACGGCAATAAAATCGGCTAGCTTTTCAGCCTACAACAAAAGAAAACAGTATTAACAATGATAACAATAAATTTATTTAAATTGTGGGTATTTGTAGAAGCTTGGATTATTTTCAATGTAGATCTCACCACGAACCAACATCGGTTAGAGAGATCATTGAATACTAGGGAGCACTGGATATCTCTGGTACTCTTCAACAAAGCATGATCACAACGTCAACCTCAGGGATCGAACTCGGGACCTTCAGGTTACGATGTCAAGTTCGCTCTGAAATGTTGTTGTCCAGTAGCCAATCTATTACCCAGCTATATGCCACACTTTCGTGCATAGGCTGTTGATAGTAAACAGATGTCTAGACTGAGGTAGGTGGAGTGGGACTCTAACCTATGACCAACTGGCTAAAAGTCAAGTGCATAAACCACTAAGCCAGATATCCACAGTCCATTATACACACGTAATCTGCCTCTTTTCATGGGAAAAAGAAAGTTAAATTAGTAACACACGTGACTCCAATGAGACATAAAGCAATGTAATTATCTAATATTAGATATAATGAAGTAGATTCCAAAAATCATTCACTCGAAAAAGGTGATACCTCCTTCATGAACACTACAACGTAAACCAGTGAGTTACGGACTTTGAACTTGATACGCTTGCCAATCAATGAATGGTTAAGTAACATGATCATCCATCACTCAATGTATGTGGATTTATTGTCAAATAAGTGGTTACTGTAGTTACACCGATAGTAATGACTGGTATCGATCATGGAGCCTGTAACGTTTCTATTCACTTGGTAAGCATGACATGTAACTGATGGGTATATTAGTATGGTCGACAATCCGTACGTTAATTAATGCAATCTTTTTATCTAACGGATATAAACCTCGTTATAGTGAATCATCAGTCTCCCTACCATCTTAGCTTATCACATATTTTTTTTCTTCTCCAGCATCAATATGATCACATTCACATGATTCTCTTGTTAATACACTAATTGACTGACTGAAAGGATTTTCTACCTAGAACTTTGAAAAAATCCGCAGCAGTCTAAGTTACCATACTATAATAAACATAAATGTGCGGAAGAAATAGTAATAGGATTCAGTAAAAGGAGGATTTATCAGATCACAAAAAAGTGAATGTATCTGCACCACCAAGAACGATTTTTACAGCCATGCAAACATTAGTCTCCAGCCACCAATTCTTTGAGTCTCGGAAACTTAAATTGATGGGTATTTGCGATAGACAGATAGACAGACAGACAAACAGACTGTATACCTCAACATCAGTAGCCACTTTAGTAAGAGAGATACTAGAAAGGATACTTTTTTGTTAAAAAAAGAACACTAGAAGAAGCTTAAAATGTTTACAAGTAGTACGTACATGTACTGAAATTCAGTAAGACAATATTTTTCTCATAAATTGATAAGTGAGAATTAGTATTATACAACTCAATATTCTTCTATCTGCAATCCATTTACGCAATGCAGTAAAAGTATTGACACTAACCGTCATTCTCACATGTACTATCATATGATGACTAGCTATAGGCTATAAATATGATATTGAATATATGACACAATGGTTTTGTTTCAAGCATTCATTTATTTGAATATATATATATATATACATATATATATATATATATATATATATATATATATATATAACTGAAATATCAGATTTTACGAAGAAATATGTCAATTCTAAAATAACTAATACAAAAATAGTACAAAAACCAAAACCTTCTATTTAATTTTCCTGAGAAGTCCTGCTATTATAAGTATGGCTTCCCAATGAATTCCCAATCTGAGAGAAAGAAGCCGTGTCAATTTACACCGAGAAATTTCAACGCATGTCAACTTCATTTTTTTCTTAACAATTCTCTTTCACACCTCGAAATGGCTATCGAGGGTCAAAGAAGTTGGGCTGTCAGTAAGTAATTGTCCATGCATATATGAGACTAATCACCAGAAGAGCCCACGGTAATGGAACTCATAGTTCAATCACAAGTAACAAACTAAAGTTTTAATTTATTTAACCATCTAGAATGATAGACAGTTAAGTGAGTTAGGCATTAGGTTCTACCTTCATTCAGTTACAATCTTGTCAGTCAATTGCGGGGGAAACATCTACTCGAAACAAAAGTAAAAATTTATTGTTACAGAATTCGATGTAGTTTCAGTACGGAGGCTTTTTCTTAATTTTGTCATACAATGCTTCTTCTCCTTGGCGTTATGTTAACTAAAATATCCCTTGATTTCTTTCAATCCACGTGGACTATGATAATAAATATGTTTGTCCCATAAAATCTCCGGTAATAAACACTGAAACCATAATTTGTAATACATATAATTATACACTACTTATGTTGTTCTCTACTCGAAGTAATAACAATCTAACTGATATAAGTATGAAGGATAGTTATTCAAAGTAAAGGAATCAAGAAACCTGTTGAGAACTCACTAAATCACCTGTTTATTTTGCGGTCACCATGATCTAAGCAAAGTGTGTCGGTGGCACAGCGGTAGGATGCTTGCCAACCACGCATATGGTTCGGGGTTCCATCCCCGGCCGAAACACTTCTTTACCTCGCTAAGCCAGTAACAAGACATGTAAAGAGGGAAGGTTGTGCATGAGACTAGCAACTCCATCCCGTAAAAACTAAACACCACTGCTACCGAAACTTCAAGCCTCTAGTTTGAAGCCCTATGTTCCACTGGGAACGTAAAGGAATTGTGTAGGTTGGTCTAAGCAATACATAGAGGTTACACGTAGAATATAAGGTAGGACAGGTAAGTCAGTTTCAAAAAATATATCACTTAGTATCTTTGTGACATGCGTTAAGTGTAGTCGTCATACACTAATTCTCCCTCAGTACCACGTTGATTATTAAATCTAAGCCGCTTGTGATCTATATTCACACCTTAGAAATTTCATATCAAGCTAAAAATTATTATTACTTCTAAATCTTCTTCGTTAATTATGTGGAATTAAATAATGACTGTATCAATGTAAACTTATGTAAATAAATGCGAGTGTACAGCTTTTGAGAATGAAATCACCGAAAAGATATCTTTGCTGAGCTTCTTGTTTCTCTTCTCTCTAATGTCCTGATGGGTATTTTCTACGATTTGGAAAAAAATCTGCAGTTAGATAAGCGTATCCAGAAAATGACAGCGCCAACCTGTGAAATCACTGACAAATGGGAGTCTGTAGGCTCAAAGTGTCTCCATGCGATCGAAATTGGTTGGAGAGTTGTAGCTGTTTTAATAACTTGTAATCATCTTTTTATTATATTTCTTAATACCTCCCTCCTACTGGAAGTTCTCATGACTTTCTAATTGCTACGTATTTAATAAATACGGCGATTTTACTTAAGGTAGAGTCAATTCAAACGGATCCTTACACAATGATAAATGGATTTAAGTTAACATCTATAAAAATTGAATATTTCAAGCCCACTTCTGTTTTCAGTCAAGTCGCTATACTGAAAATTATTCTAAACCGGTACCTCAATGAAACAGAATGCGCCACTACTACAGGACATCAATTCCACTTTCGATGTCTTTTGCACGAACTATGCTAAAATTCAAAAAAATGAAATAAAGAGGATCTAATGCAAGGATGCCTACCCTCCAAAATGAAGATTGCATGACCAGTCAGAAAGAATTAGCGACAAAGAACTCTGTCACACAACGAAATAACCAAAGAACTATTCTCTAACAAATATTCCGAAGAAAATGCAGATGACTAGGACACACGCTAAGGAAAGCCTGTGGATCAGGCACTCGAGCGGAACTCGAATGGGTAACGACTCATTGGACGTAGAACCGAGAGTAATATGGAAGAAATCGGAGCTCATAGGCAATCATGGTGCCGGTTAAAGACGACTGCAGAAAAGAGAATGAAGTAGAGATGTACTGTTAAAGCCATATGTTCCACTGTGAACTTAAAGGAATAATAATAATAATAGCAGGATAGAATGAACATATTTTCAACTCTCTCTCTCATTTCTTAATAAAACGGTCTATTTATTTTGGAGAAAGAAAACAGTAGTATATACACAGTAGCAGTGGCAAATCATAATCCAATAAAGAAAAACGAATAGATAAACAATAATATTTTAAGTGGGAAAACAAAGAAAAGTGCGATCAAGAGACAAAGAAAAAAGAGAAGGATAGAGAGAGAGAGATGAATATAACAACAACAACAGTCCGGAAGAAAAAAATGACATTTCACTGCCAACATATTCGTGTATGTAACATAGAACTTCAAAAGTTATATATATATATATATATATATATATATATATATAGATGGATGTACTTCGAGGTGGGCGTACATATATATATGATGACACTTTGGGATAATAATCGATAAAATGAGGATATATACTGTTGACTGGGTGTGATAGTATTCATTAGTAGTACATAGGATATGAGAATGTGAATGAAATGAAGCGAAATGCATGAATGAGTGTGTTTATTTGCTAGACAGACAAGGAGAAAGAAGAAAAAAGTATTTTACTGTCTGGGTATGATAATAAATTCTACTATGATTTGGTTATGAATGCTGTAGATAAACGTTGTATGAAGCATTACAAAAATAGACTGGTTGATTAGTCAGTCACAATCAATTAAAATTGTAAAATATGCAGAAAAGTGGATAGAATGAATGACTGACAACACACAGATCTACTACTACTACTATTAGCAGTAGTAGTAGTAGTAATAGTAATAGTCTACGCACTTTAAGTTGAACACACAACAAGTGATAGCAGCAACAACAACAACACTACGGTAATAACAGTACTGATAATAACGATAATAATAACGATTGGTTAAACGGATTTTTATATTGAACAATTAATTGTACACAGGAATACCAAATTGGTAGCCAGTCAACCAAAAGAATGACTTCAAAAAAGAAAAAAATGACATCAAGAGTAAATTATTATTCCAATGCAGCCAGGTAAGAGCTTACGGAGAGTTTTCATCTGAAGTGGTAACCCTTAAGGTTGCCCA